TCGGCCGATCGAAGTGGCTGGTGACTGCACTTGGGGAGCTTCCATCGCCCGAAAGAGACTGCCTAATGGCGAGGGGACACGGGCAACCACGCCTTGCCCCAAAGCGGCTGGGGACTCTGCCTTCGGGGAGCTTTCGTCGGCTGATAGAAGCAGCCTCACGGCGAGGGGAGTGCGTATGGGCCGCTCTAGGTGGGGGAGGAAATTAAGTCACCCCTGAAAAGACAGCCTAGCCATTTTTTCAGGGGTCAAAAAAAAAAAAAGGCCTGTCCTTATTTTGTGAGAAACACAGTAGTTCTCTCTTAAATTTTGACAATGTAAATTTTAACACTAGTTTCTCGCATTTTTTACGATATATATCCATATTTATAACATAGCCAAAGTTTGCAGCCCACTTCACCATACAGTGTTTAACTTCTTTGTCCTCTGTTTCAAAAACTGGTATTAATTTATATTGAGAAATATTTCAACTCAGAATAAAGTGTTCTGGTAAATCAATCCTCGACTAGATATAAATGAAAATGAAAATGCATTTAGCGACCTAAACCAGGGGTTCATAATCCCACTACTGGGCCTTACGCCGTTTGGAACTGGGCTGCAGAAGTGGCAGACGAATGTGTGCACTTCTGTACTTGTACAAACAGTGGGCAAGCACATGTGTGGGCATGCGTGGGCACTCTATTTGCATGAGCGGCAGGCGCATGTGCCCATTACTCGCACAGACCCATCCCATCTCCCCCACATTTGCTGGGCCACAAAGACAGAAAGGTTGGTGACCCCTGACCTGAACAAAAATACTGCAACAGTGAAAAGAAAACATTTTTGGGTTTTTTTTTTCTGACCATTTTATCCAGTGACAGGAAAGCCACAATCTCTTCAAAAATGCTCCTTGCACATCTGGGACGGAATGGCCACACTCTTGCAGCATCTCTTGCAACAGAAGCCAAAGAACTTGCTAGATCGGTCCGGGCTATTCTAGAAGCAGATTGTGAGTTTTATCAGATTGTTCTTCTTTTTCTACCCTCTATTTTCTCTTCATTTTCCTTTCTTTTCTACCTCACCCCCTTTTTTTGTCCTTTTTAAAATGTCCCTAAAAAAGAATATTTGACATATTTTGGGTTGTGCCATGAATTCATATGTGGTTTGTCAAAATAAAGGAAAATAACCATCTGTGAAATGTTCAAATGGTGACAGATGTAATAATTTAGAATGATCCACTGTATGATATATACTTGGGAATTTGGAACTACATAATTGAGAAAAATGCTTGGTGTATGCATTCTCAGTCTATAATTGTACCTATTCTTGTTTAACTGCAAACATGCAAAACAAAAACTGAAAGGAGCAAATTGTGATTTCAAATAGATGAATCTTTCAAATTACGTGCTAATTATCCCAAATGTTGTTTCTGCCGGTAGTATAACGTACATCTTCATAGTAAGCAGAAGTGTAAAAAATATCAGTTACATTTAAATATACTGCATGGATGGAATTTATAACAAGACCATTCTAAAAGTTACTGAGGGATCATCTGCTATTTCTTTAAGAAGATACATGAGCCTGGTTGGCTAAACATTATTAATAGAGAAACTGCTTCTGAATTTATATACAGGTACAGTAGTTCTGGATAATCATAAAGCAGAACCAACCCGATTTTGCAAACTTTTTTGTGATCATAAAGCAAACGTTGCATTCATTAAGCAAACCAATTGTTCACTATAAGCCAGTTTTGTCAAAACTGGAAGTAAATGCTGTTTTTGGCAAAAACATTGTAAAAGGTTGTCACGTGACTGTGGGATGCTGCAAACGGCCATAAATGTGGGCCATTGCCAAGCACCCAAAATGCAGTCACATGACTGAATGGGGAGCCCAGTCATCGGAACTGAGTTGTATGTATCCCCAGGAAAGTCTGTCATAATTTCTAACACTAATTAAGCAAATGGTTGTAAGTCAAGAACTACCCATAAGTTGGTATTATTCACTTAGTTACACAGTGAGTTGGAACCAATCACCTGTAGCTGAAACAACAATCCTTCCTTTGAAGCATATTTGTAGTTATTTCCCATTGTTATATAAATTAGCAAACCTGTTGTGTTAATTGCAATATTTAATTTGTAAAAAGTCAAACTGGAGACTTTTGCCCCTGAAACCTTTTATTATGTTAAAAAGTGTATGACATTGTAGCATTCTGTGTATCTTCTTTTAAGACACTATCCATTTGACTCAACAAGATAATTATATCAATTTAATAACGATTTTCTTTTTTATTCTAAAAAAATATCAGAATACTTATGGCAGCAACCCGATAAAGAAACTACATATGTGTTTCAGGCTAAATCATAGTTTAACTGTGATGAGAACTCCTTGCATAGATCCAATCCTATCCTGTCCTATCTTTCTCCACTGTGACTACAAAGAAGTGTTTGGACTTTTTTCTTCAGATTCAGATTAACCAGTTGCTCTTGCTTTCTATGAAGCAACAAATTCGGGTTAAATTTAAATATGATATGCTAGCTTGCAGTCACGGGCTATGTGTTGAATCGAATATGGTTAAGAATTGAAATGATGCTACATTTTGACATATTAAAATCAGAAATAGCAACTTCTAAAACCTTTACCGAACGGGAAGGAACCTGAGTTCCTAACTATGGGATAGTTAGTTTTTCCATGGATTATTGTTCTATAAATCAAATACAATTAATATTTTACTTAATGAGGGATGGCAATATATTCAGCATTAAGGAAGCATGTATTTAACAATGCACACTTTTCCTTGGCAACTACCTAAATATAAAACATCCTTTGTTTTGTTTTTAGTACTGTAGAAGATGCGATATTTGCACAGGCATTTAAAAGGAAGGAATTGAAGATCTGTTCTATTACTTAAATTGTTCTGGAGGAATATGCTTAATGCTTAGCATCACAAATATTTTTCTATATTTTTATTTTGGAAGTCATTTATATATTGAATGATCTTACATAGTTTGTTTAGGTATTGCTTACAGTTTCAAATTGTGATGATCACAGTTTCAGAAAAAGAATAATTCATCATTTAAATTTGTGTAATCCTAACACACATACAGACACACACTGTCATAGTCATCCTTGATATAATAATAACATTAATTATCTATTCCCTTTCAGTCTGGAAAATGTTGTTAATGGAATTCAGATTTTAGAACCAAATGGGAAAAATAATAATTGACCTTGCTGATGAAAGGAGCATGGATTTTCTAACTCAAACAAGACCATGTAATTTATTATTCAGCGTATTTATGAAATACTGATAATGCTGCCAAAAGGTTAAATGCTTCTTCTTTCAAATGTATATTGCAGTGCTTTGAATTAAGACTAGATCAAAGCAAGTTGCAAACCAGCTTATGCTTCTATAAGAAAATGTCATAGAGAACTCACCGAAATAATAGTCAATTTAAGACAATATCTCATATAAGTTTTTATCATCGCAGAGTGACTGCAAACTGAATGTTATGTAGGACACTGGATTTCATGGGTCTGTAATGACAAGCATTTTAATTTGGCCCAAACTTTTTGGATTAGCCTGAAAAGGCTATGTTTTCTACACACAGTCTCACTGCAATTTCTGTCCATTTTCCACACTTATCTTGATTGATAGGAATATGACGATTGTAAGAGAGAGTCAGTGTAAAAACATTTAGGACAATTAGATAAAGTAGAAAACATTTTCTTTCCTAATTTCCAAAGATGCTACAAATGTAGAGATGCTACAAATGTAGACAGAAGGGATATAAAAACCCTTACAATATGCATTTTTAATGAGTCCCAGCACCTGTGTTCGCAGTCACAGGTACATCAGTGTTGAGGTAATTCCCCGTTAGGAAAACGAGCGCATACAGGGAGACGTATTTGAGAGTAGTGTTTGAATAAAACACACACAGCACACAGATACACTGTAAAGTAAATGTAGGCTTTTACTTTCAATAAAGGTTTAAGCAAAGTTCAAAACACAGTCCAAAGTCATTCACAGGTAAATCAGTCAGTTTTCATTCCAGGGATAATCCAATAACAAAGTCCAGTGTCAAAAACAGTTCAGTATAAGACTTATATCAAATCCAGGAATATCAGTCAATTAGTAGAAACGGCAATACTCTCCAACAGAAGGAAAACAGAGACTCACTGAGACACACTCTCTTCTGAGACTAAGACTAAGACAACCTAGGTTTCTGGCTCCATCTTATGACCATTTGAGAAACCACACCCAATTATACTTTTAGGATTCTCTTAAAGAGACGGTATTAAAATGTCTATCCTGGTTTATATATTGTCCAACCCAAATAGCTGTTAGGTGACTTACATTCCTAACAATCAGTAATGTCTAGAGGCTAGGAATGGAGGTTTTACATGTTTATGGCAGTATCCAGGGAATAATACTTCTAAATTGTACAATTTTTCTGTTCCTCCTGTTACCACATCCTAATAAGTAAGATAAAAGTGGTTATGAATAAAGCTTAGATTGGTTTATTGGCTTAGATGATGGCCTGTCAAATGCAAGCAACCTGAGCCACTTGTAAATAGTGAAAGTCAGTAACTTTATTGCTTACCACCTATGTTACAAGAATCTCACCAGACTACTTGCCTTCTCTGGAAATGACCAGATAAGGCTCATGGATCTTGGGGGAGCTAAACATGATGCCATTTGCAGCTGTACAAGGACTCTAAGAAAAATCCTCACTTGACCCCTTCCTCCCAGCCTACTTGATAGTTTCCCAATATGGCCCCAGTTCAAGCTTGTTTTATTTTTCTGAATCTTTGGAGGGTGATAATTGAATACACTCCCTCAAGTTAGTGTTGACTCTCAGTGACCACATTTACCAAGATGATCTACCTCCAGCCTTGTTCTTCATGTCTTCCAATAGTGCACCACTCGCCACTATGATTGAGTACATACATCTGTTTTTGCTTTTTTTTCATTTTTCCTGGCATTATGGACTTTTTGAGAGAACTGGGCCCTTGCATAATGTGTCCAAAATGCAAGAAACTAAACTAGCCATTTGTGCCTCAAATGAGAACTCTGGATTGATTTGTTCTATTATCCATTTGTTTGTTTTCTCAGCTATCTATGATATTCTCAGGAATACTAACAATCTTAATAAAGATCCCTACATCATTTTCAGTACAAAATATGCTTCTATAGCAGGGCTGTCAAACTTGTGGCCCATAGGCTGGATGTGTCATGTGCTGGCCACATCCACGCCCAGTTTAGCAAAGTGGGGGAAAGTCCCGAAACGTCACTTGACGACACCGTGGCAACATGAGTTTGACACCCCTGTTCTACAAAGCGATATTGTTGATATCGTTCTACAGAGCGTTATTGTTCTACAGAGCGATAACATGAACATCTGAGAACTTCAGAAGGAGTCAAGAGAGCTAGTAAAATCAGTGTATAAGTTCACCTGTGGATCAGCTGATCTTTGGATTTTTAACCAAAATACTATGAAAAATGCACCACCCATGAATTAGTCAACTTGTATTTTCCATAGTGTTTTGGTTAAAAATTCAAGGAACTCCTTATCTATAGATGGGCTTATATATCAGTGTACACAGGAAATATAGGTGCTTTAAAACATGTTACTGCAAATAAGCCTATTAGTGGATAAGCTAAACCCGATTTTTTAAAATACATGTTGACATCTAAAAGTATTGGCTTATCTGAGAGTATATATAGCAATGAAACATTTTTTTATATGAGAGACTTTATTGGGATGGGTTGGGAGGATTCTCAATTTATATCCATAAAGTTTGCGAATTATAAAAAGCCAGAATACTTTATGAATATGGCTGCATATAACATTCTGCAAAAGCCAAATATTCTTTGCAGCCAAAAGTGTAAGCCAATGGTTATTAGCATGGTTTTGTTACTTAGTTCTTATTTAATATTCAACAGGTATTTTAAGGGGTAAATGTATAACACATGATGTTGGTGACCATGATTATAAAGTTATAATGTAA